TGGCCATAAAAGATCTGTGTTTGGCCAAACCCACAATCTTTATGATATATTGATTTGTTGTTAAGTTTGTGATACTGTACAGAAAACATATTTGTAATGAAAGTTTTGTTCACATTTTTCCATTTGTTACGGAGGAAGCATATCAAATAACTTAATATCGTAAATTGAAAGTGTATTAATGGCAAACTTTAAAGTGAAATACCTGTTATGTTACCCACTATATGATACATCAATGTTATGTATTTGTGTAGTAAAACCATACATTTCCACTAAAGTATGAGGAAGCATATCAAATAACTTAATATCGTAAATTGAAAGTGTATTACTGGCAAACTTTAAAGTGAAATACCTGTTATGTTACCCACTATATGATACATCAATGTTATGTATTTGTGTAGTAAAACCGTACATTTCCACTAAAGTATGAGGAAGCATATCAAATAACTTAATATCATAAATTGAAAGTGTATTAATGGCAAACTTTAAAGTGAAATACCTGTTATGTTACCCACTATATGATACATCAATGTTATGTATTTGTGTAGTAAAACCGTACATTTCCACTAAAGTATGTTGGAATTTAAACTTTTATGTATTTTAAATTAGTTTTTCTGTGGCTACTTTAGTTGAAAGAACCAAAAGTTGTGAGAATGGCCAAGATTTTAGAGAAAGTGAACAGTTGTTATCTGCCGTCCTTCAAGAACATGTTTAGAGATGTTGTGGCAGGTGAGTGGTTTAAGGTGTTTAAGTAAACTTGTGTTTAATCAAGATTGTTAAAATTACTTTTGAAGGCTTAATTAAATAAGAATTTTTTTCACTTTCATTTACAAACAACTATAATTTTTTGTTTATATCTATTAAAATGAACAAAGCATTGCCTTTAGACTGCAGACCACAACTACTGAATGTCAAATAACGTCACCAAATATTAACAGAACGTCTAATAATGTCACAGAATCTGTAGACTTCCACTTACATGTACTTCATTCAACAAAGCTCCCACTCTTACATGTCTTAATGTGTTTTGCACCAGCTTATGATGACATTAGACTGTAGCCCTATACCAAAAGGAGTATGATACATCTTCCATACACAGTAATCTCCATGACCACTAGCATTTGAACAATGGCTCATTCTTCCCTCAGCACTGATTATCTTCATACATGTTTGAAATTGTGTCTTTGTTTTTGGAATTGTGGGATTTTTGTGTTGCTTTTGTTTTCTAACTAGAGTATATTTACTGTTAATTCAGTTTTTTTGTGGATTTCATTTGACCATAAATTCCTAGATCCACATTTCTGCTACCTCCTGAGGTCCTGACACTCTACTTCAGGAGTCAACTCCTGCAGTTTCAATGGTGACTGGAGGCACTCTGACTGCTAGTGATGTTACCACCACTGTGCATCAGGTAACATCACTAGCAGTCAGAGTGCCTCCAGTTACCATTGAAACTAGAGCAACCACCACCGCTGTGCATCAGATGGTTCGCTCCAGTTTCAATGGTAACTGGAGGCACTCTGACTGCTAGTGATTTAACCACCGCTGTGCATCGGGTGGTTCGCTCCAGTTTCAATGGTAACTGGAGGCACTCTGACTGCTAGTGATGTTACCACCACTGTGCACCATATGGTTGACTCTGTTTTACCTTTTTTTTATTTCAGATCTAGGTTTTTCAACTTCTTGTTTCTGTTACTTAGGCTGAGCCTGCCTTGTATTTCAATGATTTTGACCAGCTGTTCCCAATGCCTGTCTTTGTTTTTGGTTCTTTTCTTCCTGAAGAGGTACAGGTAATCCCAGCTTTGTTCTTTGCTATTTCACGTATGTGATATTCTTGATTTTTTCTCCCATTGTAACTGAAGAGTCAATTCATTATTATGTTAAATATTTTTTAGCTTTAGCAGAAGCACAAGACATAACTCTTCACCTGGCTCCTCTGCAAAAACACTTTGAGTATTTGGAACAAGCTGATTTTCCAGATCTTTACCCTCTCCTTCATCCATTGATTCATACGGTATGTTTGGTGTGGAACCATTCAAAATACTACAGTTCTCCTTCAAAAATAATAGTGCTTATCCAGAAGATATGCAATCTGCTAATTGACATGGTAAGGATTTTTAATGTACATCTTTTAAAATACAAATGATGCAATTTTGATATTAACTGATCATTTTGATAGAGAAAGAAAAGTAATTGTGTTGCCAATAAAAATAGTCAACATTTGAAATTTAGATTTATTAATAAGGATGCAAAAAATATAATTCAGTTGTAATTAATTATTTTCTCTGCAAGACTGGTCACTACAGTAATATCTTCCCACCAAAAAGAATAGAGATGTTAATAATATTGAATCATCAGTTAACTACAAAATATGTATTGAAATAGCCATAGAAAATGTTAAACACCATAATTGCAAAATATTACATTTTCTTCAACCTACATTAATAATGGTTTATTTTAAGTTTAAATAACGTGGTATTTAAATGCCAGTAAGAAATGTTATAAACCACAACCACTTTGTTGGTAAATTTTCTTCAATTTACACTATGATCAGAGTAAGCTATTTACTTAGAGCATAACTAAAAATCAACCTGGTCATCAGTATAGCCAATTAAATATACTTTTATTATGTATCTACATGCAAAGAGTAGAATGCATTGTTCCATTAGTTTTGTATCCTTGCAGAGTTTAACTAGAAATATTCTAGACCACAACCACAGTGGTACATTTTTTTTAACCTACACTAATGAGGGTTTATTTAATTTTGTAATATAACTAGGCTACTAAATTAAAATAAGTAAGTATGACTGTGCTTTTCAATGCAGTACTTACCACTTCTCACAAGATTAGCTATTCTCGTTCAGTGCTGCCCTCTACATGCAAACTTTTCATAACGTATGCCACAAGCCTTGCGCACTCCCTCTGTTGGAAATATCATGTTTCAACACGTCTCTCTTGCAAATCATCATGCATCATCTTTTAACCAACAGTAGCCTGACGTGCTCACGTGATGCATGTGACTCCCTCTACACTCCTCTACTGAACCTTCACTTATCGTTTGGCAGCATTCGAGTTGAGATATTTTTTTGTGTGTACTAGTGCTACCGTGTGTTGACGGAACATTTTCCCGCCAAAAGTGGTTTCTTTTTGAACTTAACTTTTAATTTCCTTTCTACTATAACCAATTCAATTTTAGCAGTCTATTTCGGCAAAACTTGATCACTTGTGAGTTCTGTTTTGCATTATGAGTCACACCAACAACTAATGTTATTTCTCAGGCCTCAGGTGTGGATGACCCGATGGTAGATCTTTCAGCATTTATACGTTGGGAGATTGAATACTACATGGGTCAATTTTTGTTCCCTAACATCCTTCAGTCTCCTCCTCAATCGGCTGAAATTCTACAAAATGACGAGGATTTCCTACTTGCTACCTGAGGAATCATCTAGTCCTAATTCGGTCTTCATGGATTTTGTGTTTCAGGTCTGTGATGTCTTATCTCATTTTTCCTATATCGTTTTTCCCTTGACCTTCTTTATTACATGAAACCTCTTCTCAACCACTTTTGTTTTTTCCCTCCCTCCCAGACAATCGGGTACATGCTGATCACTTTGTCTCTCAATTAAGTGAGGGGATCAGCATGTGCCGTACTACTCGAGGCCCTCGGATCAGCATGCTCTTTCGTACCATCTTGCTGACTATCTATTTTTGGATCAGCAGTTGTTGGGTTTGTTGTTACTTCTTACCCATGCCCAATATTCTCGTCTTTGTCTTACCCTAACCATCCTTCTATACATTTTCTCTCTGAAGTACTCCACAGAAATCCTGAGTGGTTTTCTGTGGATACTCTGCACATTCTCTCCTCCACATTAACCCGCATTTCTTCCTCGGCTCTGGCGTTACACTCGTGGTTTCTTTGCTGTTAGGACCTTATTGGTAGGGATGCTGTATTGGCCCAGGTCAGTTTACCCTCTCCATATCTACAGGACTTATGTCTTGCTCTGTTTTTGTGATGTCATATCTATGGTACTGTCCCAGAAACTATTGAGCCTCGAGTTACATCAGCTCTTTAGCAATCCACCCTCACATTCTTTGTTGCCCATTTGTCTCAGTCAATGCCTCATATGTCCTCTATTCCCATCTCTTGTCCTTCATCCTCCCAACCCTTATCTGTTCCTGCTAGTTGGGGTACTTCTTTTTGTCTTTCGTCATCGATTTCCTTGACGATGAAATATCCATCACCAATGTTACCGGTGACTACCCTGTGTGTTTGGAGCCGATAGGAGCTTTTCTGTTGGTATTTCTACTTTGCTGGCATCCCTTCATCGAGGATCAATGGGTGATACGGGTTCTGTCAGAAGGATTCGTTCTCCAGTTTCTTTCCCCTTCTTCCCCTTTTCCTTGCTCCATTTCCTTACCTCTTCCTCCAGATCCCGCAGCATGCCAGCATCTATCAGAGGTGGTTCGAGAATTGCTTTTACAGTGGGCTATTGAACCGAGTGACCACCCTTCCAGGGATATTTAGTCCCCAAGAAAACTAGGGATTGGCGGCCGGTTATTGATTTATCTCACCTCAACCGCTTCACTTCCAAAGTTTACCATGAGGTGGCCATTTTTGCCACGATTGTGGATGACGAACATGGATGTCTCCAATGCTTACCTTCATATCCCAATTGCCCAGCAGTCTTGACCTTATCTTTGATTTGTCCATCTTGGGGTGGTTAACAATTTTGAGCCCTTCCCTTCAGACTCGCATTGGCTCCTTATGTGTTTTGTCGCATCATCCTGGCATTTTCTCATCATTTTCATGCTTTGGGGATGCGATTTCATTATTAAATAGATGACTGGCTCCTGCTGGCTCATTCCAAATAGGAATCAGTCACTCATACCCACCAACTCCTTTCTGTGGTAGCTTTAGCGGGCTGGTTATTCAAACTGGAGAAGCCCTTTCTTCAACCTACACAATACTTGGTCCATGTAGGAGTCTTTTTCAACACCAAAATCAGTTGTGCCATGCCTTCTTTACGTCTTCAGTCCACTTACAGTTCAGGCCACTTACTGCTCACAGGGTTCTATTGCTTTTGGGGATGTGGTCCTCCATCACTACACTTATCCCTCTCAGTCATGCCCACATGAGATTCCTGCAATGGGCACTTCACGACAGATGGAACCTTGCTCGAGATTCTCTTTCCACCATCTCCCTTCCTCCTTCCTGCAAAATGATCTACACTAGTGGCTGGACAAGGCTCATATGTCAATGGGCGTGCCACTTTCATCCCCACACATCCGGATATACATTTGTTCACAGATGCATCTCTTCAAGGTTGGGGGGCATGGATCAATCACCAGGAAACTTTGGGCCATTTGTCTGCAGACGAATCTGTCTTGCATATCAATGTTCTCAAACTTCTGGTGTTATTTCAGGCTTTACATCACTTTCTTCTTCTTGTCCATCATTGTCTGAGGGATGGTTCATTCAGACAACTCTATGGTGGTGGCACATATCAACCACCGGGTGGGGGGCATCCAGTCCAGAGACCTCTGTTTTCGGATGTTGAAACTCTTACACTTGGCCCATGCACCTCACATCCGTCTTATCACATGTCATGTGCTTGGTGCTTTCAATCTCATCATACATTGTCTTTGGTGATCAGACCAGATATATCCTATGGAGTGAGCATTGGATCCTCTTGTTTTCTGGAACCTTTGACATTGTTGGAGTTCTCCTCAATTATATGCTTTTGCCACGAGCCTCAATTCCAAATTGCCCCTCTTTTGGTCACCTTTATTGTATTCACAGGCCTTTGCAGTCAATGCTTTTAGCCAGGATTGGTCCTACAAATACCTGTATGTGTACCCTACAATCTGGCTGTTGCATCAAGTGATTTCTCTAGTGCATTCCACTCCTTGCTGAATCCTTCTGATAACACTCTTTTAGCTGGTACAACCTTTGTTTCCCAAGTTACAGCATCTGCTCCTGACACCACCAGTTCCTCTTGTACTTTCTCCTTCCCTTCTTCATCAACCTTGATCCAACTTCCTACATCCCAATCTCCCCATCCTCCATCCTCACACCTGACTTTTGTCCGGCCCTTGGTGAGAGAATCCAGTCTCACACGTGAAGTTGCCTTCCTGTTCCATGTGATCATCTTCTCTAGAAGTCTACCAATGTAAGTGGAAAGTCTTCCACTGTTGGTCTGCTAACAGAGGAATTCCTGCTGACAAGCCATCTGTGGCTCATGTTACAGAATTCATCACCTGGCTGTTCGACTATGGTTCTTCAGGCTCCTCACTTTCAGGATATCAGGCAGCCCTATCCCATACCATCCATTTTTCCAGATATTGTAAGATTTTCCTTTCTCCTGTTCTTACTGGGATCATGCATTTCTTCAGGATTAGATGGCTGTCGAGACATCCTGCCCTTCTGGATTGGGACATTAATGTAGTCCTCCATGCCCTCAGTTTACATCCATTTGAATAACTTTCCTCATGCTCCTTGTTTCAGCTGTCTCTTAAAACTTATTTCCAGCTTCCGTTGGCCTGTGGATGTCAACAGTTGGATCTGTTTGCCATAGATGTAGCACGTTCCCTTTATCATCGTACGTATCTTCTCCTTTATCCTGATCGTTCCTTTCTCCCTAAAATCTCGGCAGCTAGGGAGGGTTGTTCATCATTTTCTACTATTTTCCTGTCTTCTATGTCCCATATTTACCCTTGACTGGATCCGGATAAACTTCTGTGTCTGGTCAGTGCACTTCGTTGTTATATCACACCTACAGCATCTTTTCGGGGTATGTGCGACCATCTATTTATTCCGTGACAATCCTCCTGTTTTGTGATCTTTCCCCTTCTACTCTTACAAATTAGGTATGCCTTTTGGTTCGTTTTGCCTACTCTTCCCTGCCTTCTTCTTCCCATACCTTGTTCCATGTTTCCTCCCATCAAATCAGACATCTCACCTTTCCCATCGCTTTTCATTTTTGTCATCTGATGGAGAGATTTTCCAATGTGGCATATGAACCACTCCTAGTATGTTCATCTCTCACTATCTTCATTGTATCGCACTTTCCTCAGCGTCGGAGTTTCATCTACCACCTGTGGCCATTCTCCAGATTTCGGTGTGACTTCGAATGATGTTTTATTCATTTGTTTTAAGGGGCCTTTTCTCTCCCTTTTTATCATGGATTCTGCTCTATGGCGAGTGGTGCTTGTCCAGGTATTCTTTAACTCTAAATCAGTACTGTCCGCCATGTTAACTTGCACTTTCTAGTCCATGGCTACTCATACTCATTGTTGAGATTGGGTGTTCCACAAGATCACTTGTTGGAGAATAACCTCGTGATGCCATTGCTTCATAAACATGCCTATTCCAGACTGTACCAGCCATGGACTACATGGGTAAAGCAGAAGGGGATTGCTCTCCATCCTTGCCATGCCTTGTGTGAATAACCAGGTATGGTCTACTTTTCAAAATAGAGTTTTGTGGTCACTCATTGCACTGTCTCCGATGATGACATTCCTTTGGGCTCTTCACCACATAGTCACCCTCCTTTCTTCAAGTGGAGTATGGGAGTCCTTGCCACTTTCTATTCCAATCCGCTAGAGTGGTGGACCATGGAGGCACCCTCCAGAATGAGTTTCCCAGACCATTCAGTTGATAGTAGAGCAGTGATGTTCTTCTGGTGTAGAAGTGACGTGGTCTCCATAGGATTTGAGACATAGCCTTGCTGGTTGGTGTGACCTCTTGACCATGTTACACACCAACACTGAGTTGAGCTGTCTCCTTCCAGGATGATGTGGCCTCCCACTACCATTTACACAATTAATGGAGATGAACTATAACCTTCTGGTTAATATGGCCTCCTTATCCCTATTACACTCGCGGGAGCTGTTGCCTTCTAGGTTGATGTGGCTTCTTGTTACTATTTACAAAACCAGGGAAGTAAAGCTGCCACTTTTTGAGATGATGTTGCCTCCTGCTTCCTTATACACATCAGCTGGAGTTGAGACATTCCCTTACAGGATGACATGGCCTTCTAATCCACTTTACTTTCACACTGGACTTGAGCTGTCACAATTGCAGTTCATCCTTTAATTGGGTACCCTCATCCTACCTTTGCATGGATGTTGGTTCCTGGCATCGAGGTTTTGAATTATAGTAAACCAATCAACATAAGTCCTCCCACAGAGGCAGGTTGTCTCTCTTCCTCCCTTAGTTGCACCATCTTTATCTTTCGTTACTGCATAGTTAGTGGGCCGGATCTGGTGCTCTCCTGGACTATCACTCATTCTTCTTATGGAGATGTTATTGTTTTTGTATAGTACTGGCCTGTGCCATGGTTGGCGAGTTGATTCCATTTGATTGACATCTTGTCCCCGTGGCGTGGACTATTCCTCATTCTTCTTATGGAGATGTTATTGTTTTTGTATAGTACTGGCCTGTGTCATGGTTGGGGAGTTGATTCCATTTGATGGACATCTTGTCGCTGTGGCGTGGACTATTTCTCATTCTTCTTATGGAGATGTTATTGTTTTTGTATGGTACTGGTCTGTGTCATGGTTGGGGAGTTGATTCCATTTGATGGACATCCTGTCACTGTGGCATACCCAGATATCAGTGCAGGTCTTAAAACCCTGATTTTTGGGTTTAAGGTGAAGATGATATGATCCTTATCCTACTCCTGTGTGGATGTCAGTGTCCCAAGGGGAGGTTTTGGATGTAGTTGACTTACAGAGTATGGTCTGATGCACCCTAGCCACTCTACACCTTACATTTTCACCCTTGTGCATGAAGAGTATACCTGGCTCAGAAGTAGTACAGTACCCCTTCACTGATCTTCGGTTCTATATCTCTCACCCTGTGTGGATATCGATGTCCCAAGGGAAGGTTTTGGATGTAGTTGACTTACAGAGTATGGTCTGATGCACCCTAGCCACTCTACACCTTATATTTTCACCCTTGTGCATGTCACACTGTCCACAAGGGTCAAGAGTATACCTGGCTCAGAAGTAGTGTGGTTCCCCTCCTCTGATCTTCAGTTGTATATCTCTCATGATCAGAGGTATTCTTCTGATGCTTTCGAGAGTACTTCTTTCATTCCCTCTCACTGGTCCCTCCTTCTTTCCAATGTTGGATTCTAGCTAATTTTGTGAGAGGAGATAAGTATTGTATTGGAAATTATAATTTTCCTATACTGAAAATGTATTTCTGATAGGTACTTCCCTCTTCTCACACTTCCCACTTTCCTGCACTCTGCCAAACTTTGAAGTGAAGCTTCGGTAGAGGGAGTCACATGCATCACGTGAACATGTCAGGCTACTATTTGTTAAAAGATGACACATGATGATTTGCATGAGAGACATGTTGGAACATGATATTTCTGATAAAGGGGTGTGTGCAAGGCTTTTGGCATGTGTTATAAAAGTTCACATGTAGAGTGCAGCACTGAAGAGGTAAGTACCTATTGAAAATACATTTTCAGTATAGGAAAATTATAACTTTCTAACATCTAGATACAGTCATTGATCAAGGGTGGTAGTAAATTCATTATGTATCATTTCCATTTAGTGTACCCACTACCTCGATCCAAGTAATATATTTAAGTCAGAGCTAGAGGAAAGCCTTGAGAAAGTGAATACATCTTTCAAAGTCTTGAATCATTTTCTACGCATATACCAAGATTACCGGACAAATATGTCACAGTATTTAACTAATGTCAAAGTAAATGCTTGGGCCTTTCCTGATAGAAGAATTTTTGAAAGATTCAATCTGTTCTTGGCCAGATTAACTGTTATCAAGGTGGGTTGGAAAATTCTGCTCATATTATTTTGTATTAGTTAAAAATAGTTGTTGATATTTGGTTTTTACCAAATATTTTATTTACTGCTACATCATGCTGTTGATAACTTTAAGTAATGTACACAATTAGAAGTTTAGTCATGGTAGAAAACATTTATGAGAAAATAAAATTATAGATTAAAGAGAGAACCTAAAGTGAAGATTAAAATATAAGTTAAGAAATATAAGTACACTAAACTTGTAGTGAAAGCAAAGTTTACTATTTTCTACAGGAAACTTACAGTATCAAGCTGTCAATATTAAACTGTTCCACTCAAGCCTCCTGTTATATCATCATTCTTTGGAATGTTTGGCAAACTTACAGTACCAAGCTGTTGATATTAAACTGTTCCACTCAAGCCTCCTGTTATATATGATAAAAAAAAAACTGCTATCCAGTTCGTTCTCACAGTGGTAACTTATTCATGGTATACAATGATGTTGTGTGATTGGAAGAAGACAAGTATTAGTATCATCCTAACTGAAATCAAGATCATTGGTACTATTGAAAAGCCTGACAATGATCACAAGAGATTTGTTCCTATAATGCCCAGCTTTAAGGGAACCATTTCTAATGGAGTATATATGTGAGGACACTTGTGATACAGTTGCAACTCCATCAGAGAATCATCTTCAAACTTACATTATCGTGGAATTAATCTAGCTGTGAGGACTATCTTGGAAATCAAGAAAGTACTTGGACTGATCTGTGAAGAGAAGTTGATTTTTGTGTCATCTTTTCCACCAGAAATGGTTGTACATCTTTGTATATGACTTTTCCAATGATTTGGCAATAATCTTCTAAAAACACAAATCACAAGTGTGCACCATGTTTTCAGAAGATTAAAAACACAAATCACACATGTGCATCTATGTTTTTAGAAGATTAAAAACACAAATCGCACATGTGCACCATGTTTTCAGAAGATTAGTTCTTTAGATCATATGTTAGTTTTTAATATTTTTACAAATCCTTGACCTGTATTTGTTTGTTCAAGATGTCTGATGCTCAATAGCTGATAAAGTATTATCCCGAGGCTCTGTTTTTATTGTAGAGTCTCAAGATGGTAAAATGGGTACCAACAATTGTTTGTTTCAAATCTTTTTTAATGCATAAAACTAATAAATTAATAATTATTTTTTTGTATAGGAGTTTTTTGAGACTTCTCAAGAATTTTTCAAACTAGAAAAAATCGAGATGGGTGGTGTTCGAGGCCGTATGTATGGTGTTCAGGTGACAAATATTCATCAAGAATTTCTTGAACTTTATGGATCATTTGCTAACAAAACTTATGATGCCTTGGATCCAACTTCTGAGGTGAGCATCACTGTTGATTTACATTTTCTCTGATGAGAATAAATGGTGATCGAGTAGTTTAAATCTTTAAGAACTTAAATTGTATTCAGTTATACTTCCCATATTACACCAGTTTGAGAAAACTTCTCTTGTTACATATACCACAAAGTAGCTCATTTTACCTTTAATTGTTAGGTATGTTTAATGACTGATATATTATAAATCAGTGTTACATTACACAGAAACAAGGCGCTGCACCAGTAGACTAAAGGTTAAAAATTATTATAATATATCTGTCATTAAAGTTTGGTTGAGGAATTTCAAGTGAACAGTTTTTATCACTTATTTCATTCATTGTCGACATTAGTATAGTTTCACGTGCATTTACAGTCTCTGTCATAAAGTAGAGACGATAGACTTTGAAAAATGACGGACAAGTACATCTTTATTTGTCGTGGTTTCTATCCGTGAAGCCGAGAAGATAATCTGTTGCTTTGTAATGTTTAGGAATGTTGTTTTAGTTGAGTAGAAGTGCTTGTATTTCTAATCACTTGTTTCGTTAATAGACACAGTGGACTTAGCTGAGTTGAAAGATTAAAATTAATAACATAAACACTTATTTTGTTGTCACTAATACTGATTTTTTCCCACTTTTTACTTAGTTAAAATCTGTACTCTGATGTTTTATTCACACTTTACGGCACTTTTTCCACCCAGGTTTCTCATCTCTGAGGTCAGTTCTCTGGGTTTTGTCATTGGTACGATAAAAGACTTAGGCAGAATATAAAATAATTGATATATATTTTTTAAACATTCCAGGAATTTGTTCAAGATTACAGCCACTTCAAAGAGAAAATTCATGATTTAGATCAGAGGCTTGGTGCAGTAGTTTGTCTCAGTTTTGAAGACTGTACCAGCATTGAAGCAATTTTCAAAGTAATGTCTTAACTTTTAATTTATTTTATCATTACAACAAATTACTGTCTTTTTTTTTCTTTCAGTTAACTATAGAATATATTATGCAGAAACAAATTATCAATAACTAAATGTTGGTTGTCATATGCAGTTTAATTTATAAACTTAAGTGAAGAGCAAACTTGTAAACATACAGTTTTGTGTTGAGTGGGCCAGGGAGATATGCTTGTTTTTATTTAACACAAGATCTATATTAATTCCTGCTGAACTACAGTAGGTGAAATTGTATGTCTTTTATATTATGTTTCAATGTCCTGTTTAGACCTTTAATGAAATCGTTTCACCTGATAAATGTAGGGTAATTAATTTTATCATAATTATAGCTTTTAAAGATGTTTAGAACTTCATAGATCTCTGATATAAACATACATTGGTAGTACCTTAGTAGTATCATGAACAACAACAACTGATTAAACATATATTGACAGTACAGTAGTAGTATCATGAACACAAACTGATTAAACATATATTGGCAGTACCTTAGTAGTATCATGAACAACAAACTGATTAAACATATATTGGTAGTACCTTAGTAGTATCATGAACACAAACTGATTAAACATATATTGGTAGTACCTTAGTAGTATCATGAACACAAACTGATTAAACATATATTGACAGTACAGTAGTAGTATCATGAACACAAACTGATTAAACATATA